TGTATTTATGTTTATTTTAGATTTTTGACATTTTAGTTTTGAACTTCAGTTCATATAATATTAATGGTATTTGTTACTGTAAAATTGTCTTCTATTCAAGGGATTTGCACTGATACAAATTTTAGTATCTGTGTATTAAAATACAGCCTTTTTGAACTACAAGAATTGTCATTGTTTCGGTTAGTATTAATTCAGAATGTGTTCCTGTAAATTAAAAAAGTTACAGAAATTAGAAAAATGCTGGTAAACACAGGATGAATAAATGCAAGCATTTTATTATGAACTGAGTTTTTTCTCTAGAATGTACAGGGTGATATGAAAATGAGTCCCAGGCCTGTGTATGCTTAAGATCTACATCTTTGGTCCTACACCTCAGCCACAGCAGCACAGAGAGAGAGAAACCATTTTCAGCTTTGCATTTGGAAGAATCAGGACCTGGGAGTGTACCAAAGAAAAAGCTCTTGCACGCTGTGTGAACAAAAGCAGCAGCTTTCTCTCCAGAAACTTCAAATTTTAACAAGGGACAGGAAGAAAATGACATACAGGAGGAGGAGGGAAGTGCTCACTCACTGTCTGCAAGGCTTTGATGTGGCCAGTGGTGCCGATGAATCCTTGGACACCATGCTACATCTTCCCCAGTTTCCATAAGGAGAAAATGAGCAGAAGAAAAGTGACCAGTGAACCAAGTTCATGACAGAGGCAGCCTCTGCTCCCCTTACTTGGATACCCACATGAAGACTGAGCAGCCTGTTGGCTACATCTGAGCAAGGGGGTCTAGGTTCTCTCCATGCATGATCCTTATTTGGTGTATCAGTCTGCAGGAGCCCCTGAACTCAGATTTTTTTAGCTTTGTTTGTCTCCTTATGGAGCTCTTGTTCTCTCAGTGTCTTTCTGTGTCCCCAGTAACATCTTTCTATGTTCCAGTGGGGAAGGGGATGGGGAGGAAGGAGGAGGGAGGGTGGAACAGGAGGGAATGGGCTACAATCAGGATATAAAACAAATAAATTGTAAAAGTTAAAAAATAAAACAAAGACAAAAAGAAAAAAGTGACCAGTGACTCACGAAAAGATAAGAACCTAGAGTGCTGGCAAAGAAAAGATGTATGTAGAGATATGTGCACATCAAATCCAAGCTGTAAGACATGTTAACTTTTTATTCCGCTATCAAAATATTCAACTGTGTAGTCATAGCTATAATGTTTAAAAACAATAGAACCAATGACACCAACAGTGACACTGTAACCACTGTTATAACTCTAACCTTAAAGTGAATGAAAATAATTTGAGAAAATTTGCTTTCTTGAGAAAATAAAAGATGCAGGGACTTGTTGCAAACCAGTTGCTAAAATGACTGGAAACTGTCCAGATATTACAAAATATTCTAACCATTTTGTCAGTGATTCATGCCCCTGGGGAGATCATAGATAGCCATCAATTCAGTAATGCTAATTAAAGCACAGTGATCCTGGAGATCACTAGAGCTAGAGCAGTGAGGGTGTGATCCAGTGATGAAACCGGTCTTCTCTTGACCCACTCCATGCTCACCAATGTTATAAATCCATTTTCAAAGATTCCAAATAACTGTAAATGTGCTCTGCTAGACTCAACTCTTCCTCAAGTGAATGCCCAGTCTCTTAAATCACTGCTTTATACTTGCTAATACATACTTCTAAAATGTTCTAAACTGTTCTTAAGGCCTTGTTGCCTGCTCTTTAGACAACTCACATGTATAATATCAAACAACCGATCAAGTCTCACTCATAACATCATACATTGGAATGAAAACCTTGTCATTACCCAGACAGTTGAACTGAGCGTCATACTGATGATGTGTGCATTATGTAACACATGTTTGCAAATTATGAGGGAAATACTGAGTTCTCTTATCCTAAGATGCAAATAGAATACAAGGATTTTGCCTCATTTTGCTCATTTTTATTTGCATATATTAGCCCCGTTATTTGAGTACTGGGAAATCATACTAGATAATTCTAGCATAGACACAAGGCAATCATATGACCTTGTATATAGTATCCCCTTAACACTTCTTCTGTTAAAAAAATTTAATGTAAGTTTCATTTGAGAGGCCATGTGTACATTGAACAAATACTTTAAACAAATGCTCAACTGTACCACATAAGATGTTATCAAATATTTTCAATTTTTTTCCTGAGATAGTATTTATCACTTATTTTTATAAAAATCAATGTAGGTGTCAACAAACATACTATACCATAAACATACATTTATTTGAATTCACAAACCCTTTGGATTCACAACAGTTATTCAGTTCATTCTCCATTTTATTAAAACTTTTTATCGGTTCTTTGCGAATTTCATATTATAGGTCCCAATCCCACTTATCTTCTCCTCCCTTTATATTGGCCCTCTACCCTTACAACCTCCCCATAACAGAGAAAAAAGAAAGTGTGGAAGCTAACATAATTTCTTCTGCATGCTAAAGATACATCTTTATACACAGAGAAAACTGCAGCTCTCATTACTCAAAAAAACGAACTTCTCTTTGCAAAAGATAGAAACCATTACCAATATACAAAACAGATCAAAAGGCAGAAAAGAAGTGATTCATGGTGCCTAGTCCTAACTGATGTATCTACAACACAATTCCTGCACTTAAGTCTCAGGGAACACTGTGGAAAAGGGGGAAGAAAAACAAGAACAGGAAAACTACTGTGAATCTTCTAGAGATGTCAAGAAAGTTACATTGTGAATTCTAACGACTTCTTAAACAAGGCCTTAACAGGGACAATACCAATAGACAAGCTACCATGGAAAAGGGAATACTCGAAGGACCCCAACCCAAGAAAAAGGACTACAGTCAACTGTGGGTGAAAATAGTCAAGTGGGTAAGGGGAACAGGAACTGTTTCTGACACGAACTCAATGGTGGGCTCTTTGACCTCACACACCCAAGGGAAGAGCAGCCCTACTAGGCCACAGAGGAGGACTTTGCAGCCAGTTCTGAAGATACCTGATAACCCAGTATCAGATGAAAGGGGAGGAAGTCCTCCCCTATCAGGGGATTTGGAAAGGGGCAGGGAGGAGATGAGGGAGGGAGGGTAGGATTGGGAGGGAAAGAGAGAGTGGGATACAGCAGGAATACAAAGTTAACAAACTGTAACTAATTTAAAAAAATAAAAAATAAATTGGAAAAAAAAAAAGAAAATAGTCTTCCTAAGAGAGTAACTCCTAAGTAAGTTATCTAATATGAAGAGGTCTTCCCTGAAAGTATCTATACATAAGTGATATTATAGTAACTGAATATGCTGTATTTACATAATTTAGGCATATATGTGCTTTTACATATATGGATATATATACACATATATCTGTATATACATATATACATATATAAAACAAAATTGTTCATGAATTTGAGAGAAGGCAATGATAGAGTATATAGGAGGCACTGCAGGGAAGAAAGGAAAATATGAAAATGCTAGCAATTTAATGTCCTGCTAAGCCTTTTCATTATCAGAATCTTAGCTTCCTCACATACCATGTGACAATGAAAGGTATGAAATGCACAGATTATCTGCTGTGTAAGTATTAAAGCATCTGATTTTGTATTGAAAACACACACTTTAAATTATGTGATCTGTTTCTTCTTAAAATCTTTCCCAATAAATGGACAAAAAAATAGATAAAATTTCTTGAGCTTTTGTGTTAGATCAAGAGCAGAATAGATATTTATAGTTTTTTAAACATATAAATTAATGAAAGTATTATATAAAGAGAACAAAGAGCCATACCAAAAAACAGCAACTTGAAGAATTTCATTATTAAATGAAGTATAAAGTAAAATTCATTCCTAAAATATGCAATACCTATCTTCCTTTATATATAAACAGCACTGTTCACAGAGCATAGGGAATGTTTCATTCTTCATATCTTTCTTGCACAAAAATTATTTTAAAACATTTTACCTTCTTTACAAATTCACTTATTTTTTTTCGTTTGTGTTTTTCAATCAATCCTAACAACATGGAAACATATAAAACAATCCACATTTATTTCATGTTGGTTACTTATAACTTACTCTCAACTCTTGTTCCTATGACAACCTGTTTTTTTTTTCAACCTAGTAAAATGTAGATACATGAAGTAATAGCGTGTTTGAAACTTGTAAGTTGAATCTTATATTTTAAATGATGGACAGTCTTTTTTATTTCTAGTAATCCATATCTTAGATGTCATTTCTTATATAATATGTAAACACATTTCACATATAAAAATATTATTAAGTATATATCCTAGTTTGCTGTCTACTAGGGTAATAAACATCATGACCAAAAGCAGATTTGGGAGGACAGAGCCTATTTCAACTCATAACTTCATCAATCTTGAAGGGAAATTAGGGAGTCGAGAAAGCAACCAGGAGGCAGAAACTGAGGCAAAGGTCATGGAGAAGGGCAGCTTACTGGCTCGTTCTCCATGAATTACTCGGTCTGATTTCTTATACAACCCAGAACCACCACCCCAGAGGTGGCTCTACCCACAGTGAGTTGGGCATACCCATAACAACCATCAATCAAGAAAATATTTCACAGGCTTGCCAACTGTCTAATTGGATGGAGGTATTTTCTCAGTTGAAGTTTCTTCTTCTCAGATCATCCAAGCTTGTGACAAGTTGAAAAAAAAGTAAGAAGTACAGTATAAAAAATTATAACAGTCTCCTTTAAAGAAGATGTGTAAATATATATCCTACATTTAAATTTTTCATTCTGAGATATTTAAAAGGAATAACTGGTATAAGAGTGATGTTTGAAATAATCGTTTCTTGCATTCAACTGATCTGCATTTATATAATTTTTATATCTAGATGCTAACAAATATGTTGAATATCTTCTACAAAGACTATAAAATGCTTAGATAACCTATTCAAACCACTACTTTGTAAGTTTAAAAGATAACATACCTTTTATAACATTCAGAATTGAAAATTTATAAATACAAGAAATTTTGGTAATCCAATTTTCCTCTAAGATATACAAGATGATCCACATAACTGAGCCCCAGCTCTGTGTACACTTGGGTTTCTGTCTTTGCTCCTGCATCTCAGCCACAGCAGCACAGAGAGAGAAGCCTTTCTCAGTTTAGGATTTCCCAGAATCAGAACACAGGAGTGCACCGAGGGAAAAGCAGTTCTCGCAGCCTGTGTGATCAGAAGCAGCAGCTTTCGCTCCAGAAGCAGAGAACCCCAAACTTTCACAACAAGAGACAGAAAGAAAATGGCATACAAGAGGAGGGAGGCGATCACCGTCTGCAAGGCTCTGATGTGGGCCTTGGTACTGATGTCTTTGCTTCCTTGGGAACTGTGCTGCATCTTCCTCAGATGTTTACACAGGGAGAAGATGAGCAGGAGGAAAGTGACCAGCGACACAGCAAATGGTATGAACACAAATATGGTGTTAGCAAATGAAAACAGCACGGAAGGCTGTGTGTTATTCAAACTCAAGCTGTAAGACATATTTATTTTATATTCAGGGATAAAAATGTTCTCAGGTACGTTAATTACTATAATATTTAAGCATAAGAGAACCAAAGACACTAGCAAAGCCCCTGCCATCACTTTTTTAACTCTGACTTTAAAATAAAGGAAAATGGTGTTGGAAAAATTTGCTATCTTGAAAAAACAAAAGATACTGAGACTTGTAGCAAACCAGAGACTAAACTGGTTGAACGCTGTCCAGATACTGTGTAGTATCCCAACCATTCTTTTGGTCATCCATTTCCCTGGGGAGAACATAATGAACCACCAATTCACTAATACTAACCACAGCAGTGCAATTCTGGAGATGGCCAGAGCAGTGAGGATCTGATCCACTGAAGAGATCTTTCTTCTCTTGACCAAGTCTATGATGTTCACCACAGCTATGATTCCATTCCCAATGTTGCCAATTATAAATTCCACTGTCAGAATAATTGTAAATATGCTCTGCAAGACACCGTTCATCTTCAATTGAATGCTTCAATTTTTATTGTCACTGCTTAAGGTTTGTTGAAACATGCTACTGTAAGATCGTGTGTATTCAATACTCAAAACCCCAAAGCATGTTTCCTTAAAAAATCTACAACTCTAAAAATAAACAAGCAATTGAGCCTTGCTAATGACTTCATGCTTTCCATCATATAAATCTTGCATTTTCCTAGACAGCTGAACTGAATCTGGTGTGCCTTGCAAATAGCAATCTAGAGACATTGCAAATTTTGATGAAGGAAATGCTGATCTCTTGTGTTGAGATGCAAATAAAGAAAAATTTATTTGCAATATAGTGTTCATTTTCTTCTTATCTACAGTTGTTAACCTGGTAACTTGAGGATTGAGTAAATCACATAAAATTTTCTGTCTTGCATATAAGGCAGCAGTAACCTGAACTCATACCTAGATATTCCTTAGTACCACATCTCTTTAAAGACATTTGAATCAGCTATGTTCCAAGCCTGAGCAAAGTATGCAAATCACTTCCAGAAAACTATCCACAACCCAATAATCTCATGAAAATCATCATTTGTCAAAAGTTCAGTACTAAGAAAATATGTATTCATTATTTGATTTTATGCAAAGTCATGAACATGCTAATATTAATACACAATTTATTTGTATTCAAAGCCCATTTTGTCAACATCATTCTTTTTCTGCTCTTCAGCATTTATGATTCATGTAGCCCATGCATAACACTCTGATATTTTTTCATCATCTTTTTTCTTTTTAATTTATTCATTTATTGATTTTAAACACAGATAGTAACCACCTCCCTTCTTTCTTCTCACCTTCCCACACTCCCACCCTCTTCCTTGATTCCCTGCTCCCCTTCTTCTCAGAGAAGGAAGCAGCCCCCTCCATGTGCCACCCCTCCCCACCCCTTCATGTAGCATCAGGACTAAATGTATCATTGTCCACTGAGGCCAGAGGAGGCTTCCCAGCTAGGGGTAAGTGATCCAATTTCAGGTAAATGTGTCTATGTCAGTGATAGCCCCTGATCAAGTTTCTTGAGGACCCACATGAAGACTGAGCTAGCCATCAGCTCCATAAGTGTAAGGAGCCTAGGTCCAGTACATACATGCATTTAGGTTGGTGGTTCAGTCTCTGTGAGCCCTCATGGGCCTAGGTTAGTTTATTCTGTTGGTTTTATTGTGGAGTTCTTGTCCCTTCAGGTCCCTCTATCCTCCCCCCAACTCGTCTACAAGATTCCCAGATTTCTGTCTAATCTTTGGCTGTGAATCTAAGCATCTGTTTTGATCTACTGCTGGGTGGAGCTTTTCAGAGGACAGGTAGCCTGGCTCATTTCTGCAAGCACAGCAGAGTATCATTAGTAGTGACAGGGTTGGCTCTCTCCCATGGGATGGATCTCAATTTGGGCCAGTCATTGGTTGACCATTTCCTCAAACTCTGCTATATCTTTATTCCTGCCCATCTTGTAATCAGGGTAAATTTTGGGTCAGAAGTTTTGTGTGTGAGTTTTTCTCCCTTTCTGGTCATTGGAAGTTCTGTCTGGTTATAGAGGGTGACCACTTCAGTCCCCATACCCTCCACTGTTAGGAGTCTCAGCTAGAGCCACCCCATATCCTCCCAAGAGCCTACCCTGACACATGTCTCCAGCTTGTCCTACAAATTCCCACCCATCAGCTTCCCATCTCTCTCTCAGCCTTCCCACCTCCCACCCTCACTTCCGTGAACATGATCTCACTCTTGTTCCTATCCTCCCCTCTCCCCCCCCCCCAGCTTCCTCTCTTCATCTACTTATGATGTCTGTTTTACTTCCCCTTCTGAGTGGGATTCAAGCTTCCTCCCTCGGGCCTTTGTTACTTAGCTTCTTTGAGTCTGTGGATTGTGGTAAGGTTTTCCTGTACTATATGGCTAAAATCCACTTGTAAGTGAGAGTATTCTATGTGTGTCTTTTTTACCTCACATAGGATGATCTTTTCTAGTTCCATCCATTTACCTGCGAACTTCATGATTTCTTTGTTTTTTAATAGCTGAGTAGTATTCTATTGTGTAAACATACTCCAGTTTAGAAAACAAAAGCACTGAAGTATTTACAGAAGAAACAGAATAACACCTGTCTCTTCATTTCAGGAGGAAAAAAGTTACATTGGATATTGAGTCATCGTAAGAAGATAAAACCTGCTGAGGCTGGTAGTAAAGCGGGCACAGGGAGACTGCTGCCATCACAGGCAATGCTAACACCCATCTTCACATGTCCATTTATCAGCCCAGATGGACTATGTGAACTGAATAATTGTGTCTGCACTTACATGAAGAAAACCCATTTGGGAGAAAGCCTGATTGGTGAAATTTTCATCACCTAGTAGGTTTTATTCTTTTACTCTGGACAAACTCAGATTGGTTTACAATGCCATAGAGACCTCAAAAAATAATCAAAAGCAAAATCTGTCACAGCAAAGTGAAATTGCAATCAGTGGTGTATGCTTGGCTTCATATCTTTCTAACTTAAAGTTTCTGGTATTAAAGTTCAAACCAAATTCCCATTTGCTAGCATGCAAACAAAGACACTCTCTTTTACTGTTTTGCAAGGTTTTGCCTTGTCTAGTCTCTATGTAAATTGATTCACCAACTCCAGTTTTCACTGATATTTTAAACTCACTGTGTAGGGAATGCAGGGAATGTCTAAAGTGGTAGATGAGCCTCAGTCCTTAGAAGATGCCAAAAGTGTTTCTCAAAACCAATAGTTTATTTTAGTCAATACACTGGCCTCATGAAGGGAAAATTAGGAATAAACTTGTAGGTTGCTTCCATACTAATGACTCCTTGTTTTCTTTTTGCTCTCCCAGACTACTCTTCTGACTACAATTATCTGCAGATACGTGGTATTATAGCTGTATTAATTACAAACAGTAAACACATACACAAACACACACACATAAACACACACATTACCACTACCACCACCAACAACTGCAGCAGCAGCCACCACCACCAAAACCACTCACCTATTTCATTTCTTTTATGAAAACCAATTCTAGACTTCTCTAAGATATGAGTTGTAATTACAAGGAAAATAAAATCTTATTAAGCTCTACATACCCTTCTTTCACAATTAAGTATACTGACAATTTCTTTTACCAATAGTTTAAATTGCATTCATGTGTTTGTGTGTGTGTGTGTGTGTGTGTGTAAACATCACGGTAGGCATTTGAAGTTAAGAGAACAATTTGCAGAAGTTGCCTCTCTCCTACTCTGTGGTTCCCAGTATTAGAACTCTGATCCTCAGGGTAGGAGTCAAGTTTCTTTATCTGATGAGCTATGTTGCTGATAATTTCTATGAAGCATGTTACTCGTGATTGGGTCCTTAGTATGGCCTCCTTCGTACCTATCCTTAATAGTTAAATGTTTATTTTTAAGTTAAGGTTTGAAGGAATTTTACAAACAGTATTGACATCCACTCCGGAACTTCCTGCTTCCGAGAAGCAGGAAGTTACAAGCCCATAACCTTCTAGCTTGGCTTATATACTTATGTCTTTTCCACATATTTTCAACTATTTTTGATTTATTTCTTTTCCATGCAACAGTTACATATGAGATATAGCATATAAAATAAAATATATAAAAATTTTAAATGTACAATATATAATTGTCTTATATAAAATATATGAGGTACATTTAGTAAACAGACACTGCTCTAAAACTACACTGTTTTACACTGACTAATGCATCGCATTTATAAATTTCACATGTTCAATTTATTTTTTTTAAGATTGTTGGTCAGTTGGTCATTTTCATTTATTCCTAACTTTTTCTATCCTCTTTCTCTCCCTCCTCCCTGTTTGTGTGTGTGTGAGTGCGCACGTACTTGTCTCACTTTTTGTCTGCCTTGTCTAGATTGATAGGATTGCTATTTAGTAGTTCATCCTACTTCTCTGAAATGTGCAAGCTAGTTTATATACATTAAGTAATAGACACATGTATATAACCTGAGGCTCTTCTGTAGAAATTGTTGTTACAGTAATGAGCTTTATTAGACTCCTTATGTGCCTGATTGTTCACTTCAAATGGTCTTGAGGGTTGGTCTGATGCTTGTATTTTGATGGTAATATGGTTACTACCCTACCTTTGTTGTGTAAACCTGTCTAAATCATTATTCCTGAATGGTTGATTAAAAGGCCTTAAACCTGGGCAGGGCAGAATGGGGTAAGCATGGCTAAGGTTTTCAGGCTTTGTGTTCAGGAGAATCATAGGAAACAAAGAGGAATAAAGGAAGAGAGGAGGAAGGAGGATGCTATGATGGGTTAGCATGGAGAAGAAACCTTGTGAGCCTGGAAGAAGGACTCTGAGCATGGCGTGGATGGAGAAAACAACAAGATAAAAATATAAGCAAGTATTTATAAGATTATGAATGGAAAGGAGCCCAGTTAGGAAAGGTTAAGGTGGATGGCATTGGATGGGAGCTGGGAGATGATGGGGAGGTTATTGAGACAGCATAGGTGGAACTATCTGCCCAGCCCGAGGTAAATAAGGAAATTATAAAATCCAACATGTATTAGTCTAATTAATGACTAATTAATGACTAATTAGTCTAATTAATGTGAAAGGAAGGTAAATAATGCCACCATTGAATTATAGGACAAATAATTAATGGTATATAACCTGACTCCATTGTATTTTCAACAATATGGAATTGTTGATTTTACAAAACATCAACTTTACCCCACGTGCACAAAGCCAGTGCTTTCTCTTTTGCTGAGCATATTTACATTCTGCTAGCTCTATGTGCCATTTCTCTCTTAAGTATTTCTTAGTCTTGTGAAGCTGCAAACTTGCCCCAGAAACCCACCCAACAAAGTTTTCTGGACCCTGCTTCCTCTGGTTATGTCCACGTACATTACACAAGAACCTCCTCCATCATGCTTCCCTAGCTGAGGCCCACCAATGAATCCTGGAAACAAAGCTACATGCTCAGGGCAGTACATCTGCTTCCTGTGCTAGCTGAGAAACCTAGCTCTCCCCTACTTTGTCAGCCTGCTTACACCTCCTCCCAGGTAACTTTACCTTTTGTACCAGGAGTGCAAGTACCAGAGACTCCTGCCTTGTGCTCCCCCCATCCAGGCATGCCTAGATTACAGATTTCTTACAATACACACTCACGACACTTCCAAGGGACGTGTGAACAAATGCTCCTTCGCTAAGGGAAGGTACCTAAAATAGAATAGAGACATGACTCCACCTAAGTTTATCTAAGTCTATCAATGAGTTTATCATGATTATCAGGTATCAAACATCTTAGAAAGAAATGAATACACTTGACATAAACATATACATTCATTTTCTTTTTTTTTTTGCCAGCTTAAATTTTTTTTATTATTGTTATTATTTACATTTACATTTTATTAAGTCTGTATCCCAGCTGTACTCAGTTCCCTTATTCTCTCCCAATCCCACCCTCCCTCCCTCAGCTCCTCCCTGCCCCTTTCGAAGTCCACAGATTGGGGAGGACCTCCTCCCCTCTCGTCTGGCCCTGTTTTATCAGGTATCTTCAGGACTGGCTGCAAAGTCCTCCTCTGTGGCCTAGCAGGATTGCTCCTCCCTTGAGGGGTGGGGAGGTCAAAGAGCCCACCATTGAGTTCATGTCAGAAATAGTCCCTGTTCCCCTTCCAATGGGAAACCAATTGGTTGTTGAGCTACCACGAGCTTCGTCCGAGCAAAGGTTCTAGGTTATATCCATACATGGTCCTTGGTTGGAGAAACCGTTTCAGAAAAAAACCTTGTGCCCAGATATATTTGGTCCTTGTGGGTCTCCTATCCTTTCCATGTCATACTAACTCCCCTTCTGCCAAAGGTTTGGTTATGAGTCTTAGTATCTGTTTTGAAACGCTGCTAGGTAGAGTCTTTCAGATGCCTTCTGCAGTAGACTCCTGTCATACAGCCTATGCACATCCCCTTTGTCTTTCTAAGTGAGGATTGATCATCTTACCCCGTGTCTGCTTTCTTGTTTACAACAAGGACATTTGCTCAACCATGTTTGTAGCAGCTTTATTTGTAATAGCCAGAACCTGGAAACAACCCAGATGTCCATCAACGGAGGAATGGATACAGAAATTGTGGCATTTTTACACAATGGAATACTACTCAGCAATCAAAAATGATACATTTGCTCTGCACCTGAGAAACAATATCCTATCTGTGTGGGTACCAGATGCTACCAGGAACACAAATGAACTGACCTTACAGACACAATGGCCTTCTGCTCGCAGCGGCCACCAGTCCACATTCTATTTAAGTCACCCGTTTTTCAACAATTTATCCCTGAATGATAAATAAAAAATAAGATAAACCTTTATTTTAAGATTAAGAAACAAATGAATGAGCCATGCTTAAAAAGAAAATTTGGGGTGCTGGAGAAATTGTTCAGCAGTTGATAGCACTTGTTACTCTTGTACAAGACCTTCCTTTCTTTCTCAATGCCGACATCCCTTTTCACAGTCACCTGTAATTCCATTTCCTAGGGACCTAATGCTCCTTTCCAGCCTGCACAGGTACTCCATGCCTGTGGGAATTTATTTGTGAAAATAGCAATCAAAAAAGACTCCTGGTTTCCAAAGAATTCACAGAATTGAGCCCTATTTCAGTTTAAACTAAATTGAACTCAGGACACTGGACTGCATAGATATGCTCAGCTCTCAGGGCTTCCTTTTACAATTTAGTTTAAACTGTTCATGTACTTGATTTTAATTTTATTCATTTCATTTACTATCCATTTTGCCATACAGTCAATGCTACCATAATACATGCATAATGCAAGTTCATGTAGATTTCATGTCGGGCAACCCGAATCACTCTAAATCACTATTCCAATGATAACTTGGATGATGAGAACGCAAGGCGGTGGTTCTCAGCCTGTGGGTAGTGACCCCCAAATGCGTCATCTGAAACCATCACACAACACATAATTCTGATGGTCTTTGGTGCTGAGACATTGCACCCTACCTGTGTGCTCATGAAGAAGTATCCAGAGTGTATTAAAGGGCAGCCGCATTATGCAGGTTGGGAACCACAGACATAAAATAACACCAAAACACCAATCTTGTGCTGAGAAATTCAATGAAACCACAACCATGGGGGCTATTTGGTATTCTTGAAAGTAAAGATAAAAAAGAACGTTTTATATGAATAAAACTACGTAGAAAATCTGTGCCTATTTCCACATGAGAGTGTGTTTCAATGATTCTTGCTTCCCAATTTAAATAATGTAAGTATGAAACTGGAATAACCTGAAAATATTTTTAAATACATATTTATTATCAGTATCTTGTGGATATTTTTATGGTGAGGTATGATGATCAGAGGACAAGAATGGGACAGTAGTTCAATCTCCAGACTGCTGAAAGAGAAAGGAGATAAATCAGTAGGTCAAGGCACTTGCTAGTTGTCTCAGATTAATTGCTTTTTAATTTTCTAAATTGATGTTATAATTGAAATATTGGCTAAGTATGTAGAAATTTTAAAACATAAAATATCTATATTTTATACCCAATTTCTTGAATTTTTCTATATGAATTCATTTTATGTGACAGGATGAAATAATTTTGCATTTTCATGCCTAATTTTTATTTGTCAACATGTTTCATACATTACTCATTAATCATTTTTAAATCTGTAAAAGGATAATGACTGACACAAAACTTACAGTGATCTCAGTTCTTTCATGTCAGCATTCCTTATGCACACCTTTTTATGGCAATATACATATCTGAACCTTTTCTCCAAAGCTAGACTGTGTTTAGATAGTGCTTAATCTACATTGAATTTTCTGGAATTCATGAAATTACATAGAACTGAAAAATATTTGGGAAATACAAGCATCGCGCATCATTAGCTCCAACTACACCCCTGCAATCCTCGTCCTCTCCTCGTCCTCTTCAGGTGCTCTTGCATCACGGACCTGACTCTTCCTGCATCCTACAAGTCTCTTTCATTCTCTACAGAACTTCCAGGACAACCGTTATTCTCACCTCCAGTGGCCTTTCCAGACAGCAAGATCCTAAACAGAGAAGGGCTGAAGAGAGAACAGCTAACCACCATTGTAAGGACTGTCCAGAACTGTCCGTGGAACACCCGCTTTGAACCACCCACTACCACATACATACTGTTTCTGTCTCTGGTGAGATGTTACCAGCTAACCTTGGGTACATTCCTCATGGCACATCATCTTCCACATTCCCTATTCTCCCACGAGGGACCTTTAAGAGAGATGCTCTGCTCTTCATAGCAGACTGAGGCTTATTTCATACCTTGCACTGCAGCATGCCAGCTCACAGGCAGCAATTCCTCTCTTTGCCTCTCCAGTGCATTCTCTGCCTGAAGGCTCATGGCCTGTGAGATTCATAAACCTGATTCCTTCTTAAACTCCAGTACTTATTAACTGAATTTTCCCTAGACTATGGAAGAGGATCCTTGATAATCTTTAGGGAGTACAATTCTCTGTCTATCTGTGCTTGTACCTCAGCCACCAGAGCACAGAAAGAGAGGCCTGCCTCAGCTTACTGTTTGCCAGAATCAGGACACATGAGTGGCCTGAGGGAAAAGTTATATCTATAATCCATAAAAGAATAGCAATAAGTTTATTACATTGAGAGTTAATATTCAAAGACTGTAAAAGAAGTGACATAAAAAAAACAGTATATAGTAACAGGAAGGTGACGATAGTTTGCAGGGACTTTATGTGGGCCATGGTGTGGACATCTCTGCAGCCTGTGGCATTGTGCTGCATATTCTTCAGATGTCTCCACAGGGAGAAGATGAGCAGGAGAAACATTGTCAAGGACACAGTGAATGGTATGAGTGCGAACAGTGTTAAGTAGAAAGAGCTGCTGATATTTAACAGTGTTATTTGAACTAAATTTGTAAAGTGTGTTTTCTTGAAGTCTATCAGTGAATATGTTTATGACTATAATGTTTATAAACAAGATCATCAGAGACACCATCTGTGTTCCCAAAACCACTTTTTTTACTTTCCATTTGAGAGCAAGAAAAATGGAGTTTGAGAAATTGGCTATTTTGAAAAAATAAAACATGCTGAGGCATGTAGCAAGCCAGACGCTGAAATGATTGGTCACAGTCCAGAACATACTGTATATTTTTAATATTATTCTTGCTTCCAATAAATCTTGATTCCATAAGGATGTCAAGAAAATTGTGAATAGTGTCAACAAGAAAGCAGTTCTGGAGATGGCTAGAGCAGTGTGGATCTTATCCACTGCGGAGATCTTTCCTCTTTTCACCCAGTCTACGATGTTCACCAGAGCCATGAAAGTATTTCCTAAAATTCCTATGATGAACTCCACAGTTACAATAGTTATCAGTGTGACCCACAGAAAGGCCTTCAGTGTCACCACCATGTTGCTGTGATTTCTTCTGTGAACCTAAGGTGTATTAATGCAATCACCTAAAATGCTGTGTATGATTCATAACACATTTACTTTCATGAACTCTCATAATCTGTGTCAACCAATAACCAAAATTCACTAATGAGCTGGTTTATTTTGCCCACAAAAATGTTTTTTTGTTGAAGAGAGCCCAGCTGAACTTCATCCTGGTGATCTGTGCCGTGCTCTGAGAAACCTGAAGCCCTTTGTAGTTGCTGCGGAAGGAAAAAAGTGAAATCTTACATGCTACCATGAAAATAAAATTATATTTATTTGCATTATTTTGTTTTTCATTTGCTTCATGTACATATTTTGCTCTGGATAATTTTTTTCCAAATTACTAATATTATATAATTCTAACTCACCATCAGGAAACATAAATTGGGACTCACATATAATATAATAAAAAAAGATGTTCATTAAGTACACCAGAATATATATACAGGGTCCTGAGCGTATTTTCCAAATCTCTTCCAGTACATTGCCAGTTAATTATTCAATGACAAAACCCATTATTCCTCAAATACTTGGTACTGAGAATACTACTTATTTTACTCTTTATATGGTCAGAATTCACATGCATGCAGGTAATAAAAATATACACTATTAAATAAACATTTATTTTTATCCAAATATCTATTCTAACTTCAGATATTTGAGTTTAACATTTTTTTTGTTTTTCTGCCTCATGCTAGATGCTGTGGTAGCTGGTGAGACATTGTCAACTTTCAAGTATATTTAAGGCAGTAGTAATATAACTACTTGTAAATTTGTGACTATTGTATCTATGAAAAAAAACATATAAGCATTTTTCTATAGTGCTATAAAACAAATATTAAATAAGTTTGTCTCCAATAATCATAGCAATAATCATAGCAATTTTCTAGCTCCCTATATTAGTACATCTGATCCTCTTACCAACACCAAGGAAATTCAGACATCATGAATTTCATCCACTGTGAATAAAGAATTATTCCACTGACTTGATTGTAGGTATCCAAGCAGATGAAGAATGACACACTGTGTGGGTAATCTGGAGTATGAAGTGAGTTCAAGACCTAAAGGATGGTCCACAATACAACACAAGAATCAAAGATAACAGAAAAACATGCATTAACGTTTTAGGAAACATAGTGGGATGGTGCACACAGATAATTACAGCCCAGCACTGAAGAGACTGACATAGGAAGACAATCCAAACCTAGCCTGGGCTTCATAATGAGATACTGTCTAACAGCAGGATCATTAACAACAACAACAAAGCCTATGCAGATTGCAGAGAAGGTGGAGTTTTCCAGTGTTACTACAACCTCAGTCTCCTGGGGAGAGAAAAAAAAAAAAGCAAAGAACAGGATTCAGGGATAAGACATGTTGAGGAGGTAAATTAGGCCAGGTATTGAGAGGTTGTAAGGAAAATTTCTAATAATAGAAACATAATCTTACCATCAATGTAAAGGCAAGAAGGTTCTCTTGGCGTGACTCCTTCCATATAACAAAACTGAGGAAGAAGACAATGCAAAGCACCTTGGCAGTAGGGCTGTGTGGAGCAGGTGCTGCTACTGGACCTTCGAGTCTTTTAAAAAGTGACAGAATTTGTGTCTATCACTAAAGAGTGCCACAAATCCTATGTGCTTCCCTGAGCCCACTCCTACCACTGTTCCTTCCACTATACACAAGAAACACTTGAGACTTCCTGAACAGCATATAATGCTGGTTCCTAGGCATGTAATGAGATCAGCATTACATATTTCCCATTGGGCCATTCACACAGAATTCATTTCTGCAAGGAGAAGGGCAAAATTATCATAAATACTGGGTCTCTTCCTGGATTGAATGGCTTTGCTCATGGTCCTCCGGGCAATCTGGTGGCAGGCTTCTGAAATGTGAGTGGGAGCCAGAACACTTCATTCCTTTACATCAAAATGGTGATAAGAACAATGTACCAGAGAACCAAGAGAGACTGAGGAAAAGTAATACTTTAAGGAAAAATCTGGGCTTTACCATCTATTGTAGAGGGAGATTCATCATTTTCGATCTCTAAGAAAGAAAATACAAGTAATGGAAAAGTTAAGTCTCAAATCTCCAGAGGTCACAAATGTCCTGCAGGAAAAATTAACCTCCAATGTCTACCCAATCTACTGTAAATAAGCTGGTTAGATGGGAAAGATGTAAGGGACTGAGTGAGCTCTTCCTATCCTACGTGTCACCTACCTATGAAAAAATAAGGAATCACATACATTTTTTTTCCTCCCAGACTGTCCTCAATTCCCTGTTTATTTTATGTAAATAATGTATACATTTCTTATTTTTTTATTCTGTTGAGACAAAGTCTCAAGTAATTCAAACTAGCTTCAACCTTAGTTTGTAACTGAGAATGACACTAAATTCCTGATCTTACTGTATCCACCTACCCAGAGATGGATTAAAGGCATGAGCAATCATACCTCATTTTATTCTGCATATTTCAGTATTCATTTTAGTGACTGTTTACCTTTTTCTATCATTAAACTCTTTGTTTCTGTTCACATGTTCTCTCATGAGGTAGATCTAAGAGTAAAACATTTAGGCAGTGTTCCATATACTACTTGTTACATCTCGAAATAGTGTATATAGGAGCTGTGTACAATGGACCCTATTTTTCTCCCTCTTGTGAGAATAATATTTCTTCTGTGACTCTTTGCCTTTGAAGCACATATGTTCATGATATATCTCCTTCCATCAGCTCTGCTATTTCCCATGCAATCTGACAGCATAGCAGGATCTCTTTAGGAATGAAACTCTTACCTTTAGTACTCAGCGAAAATGTTTTAATATCTACTGAGGACATTACTAATATTACCATTGTCCTGTGAATTCAAAAGCCAATTGTTCTCCACAGTTGATTCCTTCTTTTTTTCTCTCTCTCTCTCTTTTTTTTTTCTCAGGACTGTGGTCTTATATCTCTCAAGCATAAACCCAAACACTCACACCCAAATTCTCATACCTTCATCTGTGCTCTGAGCTGAGCTCAGGGCCAGCAAGTCTACAGGAATCAGATCCATGAGCATCTTGCTTGGGACTCTGGAGTTTCTCTAAAGTGTGTGCTAAATGAAGGGTTAAAGGAATCTCCCTTACTAAGAAAAACCAAAAGAATGGTTCCTTTGCAACTCCATTGACATCATATCCATCACAGCAAGATGTCTACACACCCTGTTCCTCTTTTGAATTTTTGGCCCAGTAGGATATGGTGTGGAGGAGGTTGTCAGAGTCATTTCAAAAGGAACAGTGTGTTACTTGAATAATATTTTTGAAGCAACACTCTCCAAAAAATTATCACAAATATAATAATTTAAATTTCATCATTAACCTAATGTCTTTTGTTCTCATTAGTAGAGTTGAGGTTATTAAGGCAAAAGTAGCCAAGGAATCCACACTTGAATTACCAAGTAAAAGGAACAGGAATGCAAGAGTCCTGGAATAAATCACTGTTTTGAATCGTAAGACTTCTTGCAATCTGCTCTCCACCCCTTTTCCCAGAATGATCCATTAGATAGAGCTTTAGTTCTTTGACAAAATGAATCTTTCATCACTGCAACTATTAAAGACTGTCAATTAAAGATTCAATAATCCATTATCTGGTGTAATTCAATCTTTTAAAAAATCCCTTCTCTTGTATTCCTTTTTTTTTTTAAGACATGATAGCTTCTGTTCTCTCGGATTGGGCTTCTGTAAGAGGGCTTTGTCCATGATAATCTGATAAGTATTATTCTACTCTAACCTTATGAAAAATGGTATTTTGACATCCTCTGCATTGAGCTATGTATTATCCTAATATATCTAGCACTGGTATTTGTTTGTGCTTCACATTTATTAGAGTCTTCATTTCTCAATCTCTAGATTTTCTTATAATGACTTTATTGTATTCTTGTTCTTAAATTTATTTTTATGTCTTTTAAAAAAGAATTCTTCATTTCTCGTAGAATTTTCTTTTATCTAAATCGTTTCCTCCTCCCACTTCTCCCTCTTCTCCCCCTAACACCTCCCATCCCTTCTGTCTTACTCATTATTCTAGTTCTATTGCTATGAAGAGAAACCATGACCAAATTTTACAGAAGGAAGCATTTAATTGAGAGCTTGCCTACAGTTTCAGAGGTTAATTCCACTATCATCATGACATAGTATTTTGAAACTTCAAAGCCCACCAACTAGTGACACACTTCCTCCAATCAGGCCACATCTCCTAATTTTTCTCAAATAGCACCACTCCCTGATGACTAAGCATTCAAATATATGAGCTTATGGGGACCATTCTTATTGTAACCATCAAAACCTCCATCAAATTTACACACAAACACACACACACACACACACAGAAGGAGAGAGAGAATATTGATAGCCAGTTAAATCAATTTAGTGCTGCTCATGTGTACATGATTTTAGGGCTGACCACTTAGTATTGGGTACCTGACTGGTGAACAGGAAGATTTATCTTCCTTCTCTGGTTTTTCTTTACTGCTAGCAACTGCTGTAACTCCAGTTCTTGGGAATTCAATGACGTCTTCTGACCTCCATGGGCACTAAGCATTGTTGTGGTTAAAATGAAAACATGCAGGTACTCAGACGTATACATAAAATATCCATAAATTGTCTAAAAGATTTACATTTAAAAATTAAATAGAGTCAGGAGGAGCACCAGTAAGAAAAACTTAAGCTTGGGTCACATACTTGATGAAAGTTATCAACATGTTTGAGTGTGACAGAAGAGGTTGTGAACCTTTACAAAGTCTGAGAATAGCAAATCATGTCCTGCAGGCCTTATGAAATCTGTGAGTAGTTGTGATTGTGTGTATGTTTCTTAATCATAAGTAATAGAGTTATAACAAACAATAATTATCTATAGATAATTGAACTTTCTAGATAATCCCACAGAAAACAAGGATGCTGAGGGAGAAAAAATATTGAGATTAATTCCTTTAAATGCTTCTGCACAGATC